ATCATACCTTGCTGCATATGATAAATGTTGAGGGTGCAGTGGAACTAATTTCAATGTATAAGAATCATTTTATAAGGTGAAAGAATGTTCAATGTCATTAAAGGCAAGGTAGTCACTAGTACAAAGTAGTACATGTATAGGTGGAAGTTGAACATTAATTCTGTCTGTCATTGAGTGACATTATCCATGTTATCTGATTATTCCAGAGTCAACCTATTTTTAATCATGGAGGTAGGAAATCATCTACTGCCACTTGAATTGTTTGTACTCTCTGTTTTTAAAACTTCTGGAAGCTTGTACATCAGTCAGTAGTCCTAGATAATTTTTACACGGCACTGTTTAAAACATTTTGTCTGTCATGTTTGTGGAGTGGTTTGTAGAAAGTTTAAAATACTTGCCATTTTTGGCAGTTAAATGAGGTGTGTTGTTTAAGCAGGCCTTGTCCTAAAACTTAGATTGCCATCTGTTTGTATTGCACAAACATGACAAATGTAAAATATTCATGATTTGTTTTATGCTTTGCCTGAATAAGTGCTCATCATTTGATTTGTAACTTACAATCTAGTTTTTGTGTCTTTGTATTTTTAGAGGCATTACAGTACCAACAGTACAGAAAAATGCATTTTTGCGGTTGGCATGATGTCACTTTGACTTGAGTAATTTTCTGCCAAATGGCACCTTCAAAGGAGCAAAAGCCCTGTTACGCTGTTGCATGCTTTGCAAAAATACAACAGAGTTCACGGATGTCCGACCACAAGAATAGAAGAAATTCAGTGTGCCTTGGAGTACGCACGTGTAATATTTGGTTCAGTCACCCTTGGCAGCCATGTGTGTTTTGAAAAAATAATTTACATCACATGATCAGTTCACCAATCAGATGATGGGTTTATTCAGGTTTTATATTAAAATGAGCACAACAAAATGACATAAATGTATTGGTTCAGTTGATCTGCACAATGGCCAATTGATCTTGCACCATGATCTGTTGATGTTTCTGCCATCAGCCAATCCATTTCTTTCTAATCAACTGTTGTTGATTAGAATCTGAGGAAAGGAAGGTCTGAGATTTCTGACAGGATCAACTAACAATGCAGTTCAGTCAACCTACATGTATTTAATCATGCAGATCAATTAACTGCATCCTACATGTATATAGTTAATGTACCCTAACGTGGCAGGTCCCCTGGCGCTCTTTCACTTTTTGCCTCTCATGTCTTTACCAGAGCAATATTTTTACCTCAAATTTCACAATCAGTGAAACTTAATCAAACTCCTATTATTCTTATTCATAAATTCAATGTTGTTTATCTGCTAAAAACTTCTGACGAAATTTAATTTTCAGAATTTTTTCTGACGTGCAAAAAGAACACTTTTAGAATGTGCTCAAAAATATCAAAATAATTTTCTGACACGCTTGTGGATGGGTAGCTGAGCAGAGAGAATAATGCTGTTCAAGAATTTATCAACTTTAAAGAATTTTGAAAATGTTTGTGTGGGAGTTTCTGAGATTTGTTCAAGTGTGCCACATTAGCCCTAACGTTCCCCATCCCATCAATTTACAACACCAGAGTTTGTCAAAATTTGATGGGCTGGGTTTTGTGTTCATATAAAGTTTACTATATGTACACAAAGTGTTGGATTATGATGGGATGAGTACTGTTCAGCTGCAGTAACAGTGTTAGGTTTTGACTGAGTGGGTATTTGGGTGAGTGTTTTAGCTGGTTGTTTGATGAATAGTGCTGCTGGTATGTGTGTGCCTGTACTAGGGGGGGTCAGAATTGGATACTGAGGATTTGTTTGTACCTTTTACCCATGGGGCCATACAATGTACATGGTCATATACAATGTACAGTGTACTTGGTGACCTTACTTTATCCCAGGACAGATCCTTCCATTTGTGAACAGGGAGTTTTTAAATTTGGGGGATGAAATACTGCAATTTCATTCTTTTTTGACAAAAATGATGTAATAGTTGAATTTGTTCATCTTCAAATGGTAATTGTGATGTAATGTTAGATAATAATTAGCATTACTTTGACCAGGTTTGCTGTACAAGTAAAAGGGGTGTGTTTTGAAGTTCCGTCCCCAGTCACTTACTGACTATCCCAAAGTTAGAATGAGCTCTAGAGAAGCAAGAAATCTGCAGCAGAGCCAAACAAGCGAGGAGCATGATGTCTTTGTAGAAAAGATCATGGGTAAAAGGAAAAAGACCCGGCCAGTTGAAAAAAAAATGAGAGACAGTCATCAAAGAGTAAGGAGAAAGTGGTGGAGACGAGAGGAGAGACAAGCCAGGCTAAAGGAAAGGGGACGAGGAAGGAAAAACAAGGAAAGAAAGGAAAGACCCAACTTTCCAAGTGCAGTGATAATGCCAGTAAGGAGAGGCTGTATCAAGCTGAGCTGGAAGACCTATGAGCTTTCATACAAAGCAGCACAAAGGAGGCTGGAATCAGCATGGGCAAAGTTTACCAGGTTGCAGCTGACACAGCAGAAAGTGACGAAGAGGCCTTCTTGGACATTGCTGTGGCTGAAGCGAGAAAGATGGCCCCAGCATGCCTGGCAGCTGTAATGGAGGGAAAAAGCACAGCAGAGTCAGGAAAGGAGGAGACAGCAAAGACAGGGCAGTTGACAAACAAGGGAAAAACAAGGCTTGTGGCAGAAGAGGAACTGGAGGTGACTGGGCAGGACAGTGAAGAGGAGGATCTGGATGAGTGGGTGCAGGAGAGAGGAGACGAGGCAGACCTGGGGGAGTCAGAGGAGGAGAATAGAGTGGAGGAAGAGTTAGAGGAGACAGGGGAAGAGATGGATATCAGAGAAGAGATGGATGAAAATGCTCTGCCAGGCCCATCTGCCACCCATGCCTCAGCATCAAAGAGGAAATTTGGTGGTAGGAAGAAGAAAAAGTCCAAAGAGCTGCCTCCTGACTCAGATGATGACCCTGATCCACCCTCGGTGTATCAGCCTGACATTCTCCCGATGAATAGGGATGGACAAGGAGCCTTGAAGACATCAGAGTGAGGAGCTTCAAGGGCAAAAAGCCAAGTGGGCCAAGCTTCAGGAAGAAGAGGTCCCCTTTAGAGTAGTTCTGCAAGTTCTTTCCTCTGTCCCTGTTTCTTTCTATTGTCAGGTGGACCAATCTATGCTTGAAATCTGCTAAAAAAAGTCCCAACAACTCTGCAGGAAGTAAAGGCATGGTTTAGATTGCATCTGCAGATGGGCTTTGTGAAAGTCAGTAGTTACAAGGATTACTGGCCATCCCACACAGGTCTGGGAAACCATCTCATTTCAACCACCATGAAGCGGAGCAGGTTTGATGTGCTTAGCCAGTACTTGTGCAGCAACAACCCTGCCAAGGACCCTCAATTGATCCGAGACAAGGCCCACCGCTATCAGAAAATCCAGGGCCATCCCCTGTCCCCTGTCCAGCCCTTGTGAGACAAGATGATGGAGTGTTGCCACTGGAGGTACCAACCGCGAAAAGAGCTCACAATTGATGAGGCCATGGTTAAGTACAGAGGCTTTAAGGTCGTTGTGAGGAAATTTTTTATGCCTCTGAAGCCCATTAGAGCTGGATTCAAGATCTACGCCATCGCTGAGGCAGCCACAGGCTACATCCTCAACTTCACCATACACCCTCTGGTCGAGCAGCGTGTTAAGATGTCAGATATTGGCCTGTCCTTCGCCAAATAACATCTTGGCTTATATCATCCCATCTTTACGGACAAACTGTACACTCCCGTAAATCTTGCGCGCTCCCTTCTGGCCAAGAAGAGGTACCTGACTGGCGCAATAAAGAGAAATAGCAAAGGTCTCCCCAGGGACTTCTCCGCCGAGTACAACAAGGCCAAACTGAAAGGATGGCCCTTTGCTGGCGTGGTACCTTCTACACGTGCCAGAATGGGCAGCTGACAGGTATATGTATTTGTCAAAATGCTACTATTATGAATGTGTATGCACTAAATGAAAGGAGTTGGAACTGAATGCTTTGCATTGCAGGGCTCCTACTGTTTCGGTTGTAAAAATGCAGTTCTTTGCCCCGTTCACACTTTGAAAAGTTCACAAGTGACTTGCCATTTATGTACAGCATGTTTTGTGTAGTGTTAATAAAATGCACACGAGGTTTATACGATGTACACGTACGTATGTAACCAGGGCTTCAGTTAGCGTGCGTACACTTGTATTGGCATATTTTACGCAATGAAAATGGAGAATACGAAAATAACTTCACGTAAAAAATGTAAAAAAAAGCATTCATTTTGACCTTCAATACTTTAAAAATGCTACGTTTTTTACTGTAGGATGTCAAATACGTTGTAAAGGCAACTGTTTAGCCGTATCATGCCACTCAATCATGCCGGTACTTCGTCCTCACTGCTTGATGGCAAGCCTTCCACTCGCTCAACCAAGCGCTCGTTCGATGTCGCTCGGTGGAAAAGCACAGCAACCTGCACGATGTCTCACTATAGCACGCGTCTACATGTACAATACAATTGTGCAGTACAGTGTGCTGCAGTTGAACGGAATGCAGTTGTTCATGTAAATGGCACCTGCGTGGTGTGCACTTCGGATTCGATTACATCAAATCGGTACCGATTGCAATATTGTTACAGCTTGCATGTAGCACAGCCCAACAATGTGAGGTGTATGGCATTATAGCAGATGAGAGTACAGACATTGCGGTCCATAAGAGACTTGTTCTGTACATAAGATATGTGAGAAATCAGAAATGGCAAAATGGAAACCAGTATGCTATGCAATGTTAGGATTGCAGATGGAACAGCAGAGACTATTGTGTCTGAAGTCAAGCAAAAGATTCAAAGTCTTTAATAGCCTGAACCTAAAGCAACTTCTGGGCTTAGGTAGTGATGGTGCAAGTGTCATGACAGGTATTCACAATGGTGTTGGAGTGAAACTTCATGGCCTTGCACCTGCCCTTGTACATGTGCACCGCCTGGCCCATAGGCTTGCTTTTGCTTGTTCTGATGCTGCTAAGAAGTTTGACTTCCTCAAAGTATTCAGGAGTGACATAAATACTCTGTATTATCACTTTGCTTCATCAGCTGTGCGACATTCAAAACTAGAGGCAATCCAAAAGGTGCTTGGTGAGTTGAACCTCAAATTGAAGGAGTCAATAAATGTAACATGGCTTTCGATGGTTAATGCAGTGAATGTAATTCACACGTTACAAGTCTATCATGGTCACCCTCAGTGATGATGTTGTCCGTAACCAAAATGGTCTGCACAAATTCATGAAAATGTACAAATTTTGTGCTACATTGGCATTCTTATGTAACATATTAGATGTGGTAGGGGACTTGTGTAGGTTCATGCAAGGTCGAGAACTGCTAAACATGTATATTGACTTGCTGCCCAAAGTGCAGGCTTGCCTAAGTTCAGAATGTGAAGGACAGCTTGGAACTTGTTGGCAACAAGTTTAGCTGTTTATTGGACCCTGATGTACTTAAGCAAGACTTTTCAAAGGCAAAAGGAATGATGAAAGGTGCCCATAGTATTCCGAGTTCTGGGCAGTTCAACAGATACTCTTGAAACATACAAGACCTCGTGCAATTTTGCATTCTTGGCAAAATTGTTTTGACCATTCCTCTCACTTCTGTTGACTGTGAACGAGGCTTTAGCGGCCAAAATAGACTAAAATCAAAGCTACGTGTACATAGCAGCCTCTCAGCTGAGTTCCTAGAGATGCTAATGAAACTTAGCATGCACAGTGGATCAGGACCGTATAACCTCACAACCAACATTCCCTTTGCACAGAGTCATCCAAAACTGGAAGGCAGAAAAGAGCAGGCGTCTCAAGTAGCTTTTTAAGCCCCATGCTCAATGTCAGACTGGTTCAACCTCCAAGAGATTTATGCCAGAAGAATTGCTGCAGGAGTTAGTGGCCCTTCAAGTTCCTCAGAGAGCTGGTCTAGGAAACTGTAATAAGTTTCAGTCATGAAGTAGACTTGTACTTTAGTTTTGTAGTCTTTTACTAGGGAACTGGTCAAGGAAACTCATATAAAGTTGCAGTCATTAAGTTGTACACCAGCAAACTAAATAAAGAAGAATTAGAAACTGTATGTTAAAGAGGGATTGCTGAAAAATATGATGTAATACCATTGCTTCCCATTTCAGTTCAGATTTTAATTTCCATTTGATTTGTTATTATTGGTACCATTTATAACAATACATGTTGTTCAAATACACACTTTAAGCATCAGTGATCACCATCATCCATACTTAAAATGCAAAGCCTACAAGATATAATGTACATGTAAGTGTATGGTAGTATGGTGGCAAAGTTGAAAAATAAAATGTATGCATTATGTATTATCCATGTTGAAGGCCAATAGTACTGGTGTAAGCAGACACATACATGTACCTGCATACTTTAGTTCTGTTAATTCTATGCAGCAGCAGCTTACAGTTTATATGCATGAGAAATAAAAGTGAAAGTCAGATGTCCGCAACAAAGTCTGTGCCTTGCAATTTTAACCTCAATCTGGGCCTGCAGATAGGGACACAAGCATTACATAACTTGTTTTATGTTTAAGATGACAATGTAAACCAAATCTCATGTACTGAGTTCGATTTCATAATCATTCATTAAAAGACATAAAAATACTCCTTGCTTTCACTCCAGGAAGTGAAATACTTCCAGATTTCTTACCTCAGAAGTTGCAAATACTCCTTTTTACAAAAGAAGTGAGTATAATACTCCTTTGTCTAAAAAGTTAATGAAAGCTCTGTGAAACATTTGGTAGCAAAGGTTGAGCTTGTAGTGAAACTAAAGCTTTTCTTTTTCATGGATCGTTGTACTGCAGTTATGTCTGCCGTTTACCTAAGCCAGGAGAAACCATTCATGGATCCAAATTTACTATTGGGTTTGGAGGCAAAGGAGCAAATCAGTGTGTCATGGCAGCAAAAATGGGAGCCAAAACTGCCATGGTTGCAAAGGTAATGTACTGGTATGTTGGTACAAGTTTTGACATCTGTACATCAGTCGTTCAACCCACAGAATCCATTCATTGTCCTTTTTTCTTTAACCTTCTATATCTTGAGTCCAAAGAAGACTGGAAACTTGTCTTTGTAAATTGTATTGTGGAACCTGATATTTCTGAAGCTGAAAGGCATTCCAAAAAAAGCCAAAATTCCGAAAATGAAAAATTTGGCATATGAAACCAGATATAAATCTGATTTTGTACCAAGTATAGCGGTCACAATGAATGTGCCTGCTTTTTAGTGATTAGCCTTCAGTTCATCATCCTATGTTACAGAACCCAGGAAATCTATCATGGAAACCAGTATTTGTTTGCCAATTCCTTGCTGATGCTGATCAACCAATGAGTCTACATGTACATGTACAGTGTATATTCATAGGAAAAGGCTCTCCCGTGCACAGATGTTAAAGTTCAAAAATTCAATCCACTGACCCAGTCCATATTTGGCTCAACGTTTTAGATACCTCCTCCAGCACTTGGTATTTTCCAGTTGAAGAGTATAATTCTTACTGTGACGGGGCTAGTATTTGACAGATAACACCCAAAATGTGTGTTCAGCTGGTGAAATTAGAAGTTTGATTTTTGTACCATTTGTATACTTCTTACCGGTACACGTAGGTTGGGGATGACACATTTGGACATGAGACCATCAAGAATTTTCGGAATTGCAGTGTTTTAACAGGTGAGGAATTCAGATTGGCAAAGATGCAATCCCTAGTCTTGTAACTCATGTGTTTTTCTGTAAATGTTCAAACATAGCTACATGTATGTTGAAGAGTACCTGTACTGCCTGAGACAATTTGGGGGAACATCCTTTAGACTTACAGGTTTGTAAATTGCAGTTGACAACATTGATGGACTTGACAGATTATTATGTTTTGCCTGTCCCCAAAACTATCATACGTGCCCTTCTTTGACCCTTTTTGGTTTTAAGCTCATCTGATACACACAGTATCAATGTCTTATTGTGTCTTCAACATTCTTAGACTTTATTGCAATCACCCAAGAAGCTGCTACAGGGGCTGCTCCAATTGCTGTTGACGATGAAGGTATTTTAATAGTAGGCTTTAGACATCAATGAACTAATGTAATGTGATGTGTGGGTGCTCATCAGACCTTTTTTAGAAAACCTCGCATTTCTACTTCGGGCATTGAATGCTCCCCTCACTTGCATGTTTATGTTGCAGGGTGATAGTTTTCTCTGTTTTGGCTATTTTACCTTTCAAAAGGTTGTTTGATTGGTATTGTCAAATTGATAAACTACCAAGAGCATTAATGTTTGTAGATTGTATTCCGGTTAAGGATGTGTTTACGGGTATTTTGGAACTGGGTGCTTGGGTACCCTTAACCCTAACCTCCAAGGCCCCTTTTCCTAGGAATCCTCCTCAATCCTCCAAACCTTGTGCATGCCCAATAATGCATGTAGCCATTGTTTGGCAGCACAAGTAAAAGGTTTATCCACTATGAATGCAGGGTGAGGGTTCCCCTCGTTTTTTCTGTTTTCTCTGAATGACGAATATCTACATTCAGAGTTCGATTCTTGGCATGAAATGAAAAAAAGCCTTTTAAGGTTGTTATAGTTGAGCTCTGAAGACAAATGACATTGCATTCGATTTGGATGCCTCCATATTTATTTGAACAGATAAAGTCAGAGAAAACATGTTTTCCTTAGAGGTGCTCTGACAAGGGGTACATTGACAGAAACTCAGATGGGAGTGTGTTGCATCCATGTGCCTCCATACAGACCTGCTTCCTTGTCTTCACAAACAGATGCAGTGGAAGCTCAGGGCAGCATGAGATCTGTAACTGGTGGTACTGGTGAGATTTTATATGTTTTCAATTTTCAGGTCAGAATTCCATCATCATTGTAAGTGGAGCCAATTTGTTACTGACTCCCTATGATGCTGAGAAAGCTCTCAGCGCCATCAAAGCCACTAAAGTTCTTTTGTGCCAACTAGAGGTTAATCCTGAGACCACTCTAGCAGCAATGAAAGTAGCTCAGGAAAAAGGAAGTAAGTAATCCCAGAATTACTTATATGTAAATGCTAGGAGTGTAGAATGCAGGAGTGTTATTTTACAAATAATTAACTTCAAGGTTGGCTAAACTCTTGTAATCTATTCCTTCGTATTTGTGTCTGTTTTATTTTTTTACTGGCAAAAGTGCACATGAAGCAAATTTTCACAATGTGAATTTTGCTAAAGAAGAAAGTCTGAATGGCCTTCTCCAGGACACACAACAATTGCAGCATCCTTCACATTTCACTTTCTGGAAATTCATTTTCTTTGATGTAGGGCTTGTCGCTATCCGAGGTTTGGGAAAATCAGTTACAGTAGGGCAAACCCAATTATATTAGACTTTTAATCCATTGAAAAATTTACAAATGAAGTGAATGCTGTTCATGTGTTTTTTCTATAGCACAAATCAAACACAGTTTCTGTGTCCTCACATTAAATTCAGTTGTAGCCATCTAAAGGATGATTTTGATCAGTAGTGATTATAGTAATTAATTTGGTGTAAAAATTATATTTGCTGAGTAATAATTGACTGTTAACTTGATACATTTGGTTAGAAAACATTTGTACTTTTGAATAAGAAGATCAAGTAAAGTTTATTATTTGACATTTTCTTTTGAATTCAAGTTACAACAGTACTGAACCCTGCACCAGCCATTGCAGATTTACACCCAGACTTTTACAAGTTCTGTGACATTATTTGCCCAAATGAGACAGAGGTATGATAAACAGTAGTGTCTTGAAACACCTTGTTTATACTTTGCAGAACACTATTTCTCATAGCAAATTCAGCATCTGTGGATATGATTTTGTTGGTGACCAACTTCCACAGTTTTTATTAATTGCAGTCAGAGTATTTGTCTTTTGTCTCTGAACATTGGTCCTTTGATCTGTTGTGGGCACTCTACTCCCATTGTGAATCTAGAGGAAAAATCATGAGTGATAGCTTGGGAATGCAACACAACAGACAAGTATGATTATCACTGAAGTTAATTTGAATGTATATATCCACCAATCAGTATGAATTACATTGAAATAGAAATGATGTTTGGTGAAGTTTGAGGGATTCTTGATCTTTTAGCAAGCATTCAAGGGTAAGCACATTCTGCTGGCAAATTTCTGTTAATATTTGTATAGGCAGAACTTTTGACTGGTCTTCAAGTTACAAGTGTTGAAGAAGCCAAGGATGCCGCAAAAATACTGCTTGAGAGAGGCTGTAAAAAGGTCATTATCACTCTAGGAGGTCAAGGGTCACTACTAGCTCTGCCAGATAGTGAGCCAGCACATGTTCCAGCAAGAGCTGTGAAGGCTGTAGATACCACGGTAAGGCAAGTAGGTGTAAATATTGTAATGTGTAATGAGTGAATGTGGCTTATCAAAGTACAGGGTACCTATAGTTGCCCAAAATGTAAATGTAAGGATTTACTGTTTGTGATCATCACTTTTGATCATAGATCCATAGGGAATGATCTCATCAATTGACCCATCATGTAGGCCTTGCCTGATGCACACATACATGTACAAGGGCAATAAGTTTATGCTTGTCCCAAGTGTCACATTGAACAATTGTTGCCTGCGGTGTAGATGTCCATGGTGTTTTGTACCCCGAGGTAAAGCCGAGGTAGCCATTTGCCCCGAGGGTATACAAAACACCATGGAACCCGTCACAGCAGACAACTGTTTTATTATACCCCAGTCATAGGTTACACTACGGAGTGTTATGGGAGCGCTTGGAGTGATCTTATATTTGTAATCCATCATTGTTGGTAGCCCGGCAGCACTGCCAGGGAACTTGATGTGTAAATGATTCTTCTGCCCTCAATGCGATTGGTTCACACAAAT